CACAAACAGTGATGAGTAAATACCTGACACATCTTGCCCATGTGTTTATGTGTGTATGTGAGACGACTTCACCACTACACCCTTAAGAGCGGTGAAGGAAAGAGGCTTGCCTCCATGCTTCCCTACACTGTAGCAAACATCTACTCAGGTTGGAGAGAAAATGCTTCTATCCTAGAAAGAAGGAAGGAAGAACTTGGGAAGAGTTCCCACCAATACATTTCACCTTTTTTATTGAATTTGTAATAAAGGAGGTAGTGAGGGGGAGGAAGCACTTAAGAATCAAAAACCATATTAGACACTGGGGAGACAAAAATTAAATTAAATCCACAATAGGGGACATGGGGGAGGGTAAGAGGGAGCCTTGCCCACCTTTTAACATCAAATCAAGAAAACTGGAGGAAAGCAAAGGATTAAGAGACAGGAGAAACAGACATTCTCTTCAATCTGTCCTTCTTCCCCAGGGTCAGGAATTATGTTACTGAGTGAGCAGTTCAGGGCAGAAGGCTTGCCCATCCTGTGCACAGATGTCACTCCTCCCCAAACCCTCCTGGAGAGTGACCTGGGCTGGCCTTAGCCAACAGAAAAGGAGGGGTTGGGGGGTCCAAGAGTAAGGAAGGGTCAGCAGGGACCCCCAATACTGATTCTCCTCTGGCTGGAGGTGGGCAGGAAGGAGACACGGCTCAAATACTAAGCAGCCAGAAAAAGAAGAAGATGGCGAGAAACAGGAAGAGGGAATCCTGCCAACTGGAGGCCGGGTGACCCTGTCCCAGATCCACACCTGTGGGAGAGAGGAAAGTTGCAGAAACATATGCTCCTAAGCCAGAAGGAGGCACAAAAGGGTTGACAGGGCTCCCTGACAGGAGTTGAGTGTAAGTCTTACCTGTACCCCTGCGGAAAGGCTCATGGGTATTGAAGACAGTGGTGAAAAAACCAAAGGGGAAAGCACCAACACCAAATGAGAAGTGAAAGCCCCCAGTATCACCAAATGGTTGGAATCCCTAGGGAGATGGAATAAGTCAGAGAAAAACCAGACAAATCTTTGGCAACAAAGGGACATAAATGGACAAGACAACTCACCCCTCTGCTCTCTGGAGCTGGTCGCTGGCCCTGGGGGCGGGGTGGAGTTTTCAATCTGAGAAAGAGGAGATGGACTATCAACAGGGAATTTTCTCCTTCCTCTTCCACACTCCTCCCAGGGAAGAGGCTTTCAACCTTCCCTAAGCACCTCTCACCTGGGATCCTGGGGCTTCTGGCTCCCTCGCCCATAAAGCGGAACAACTTTCTCTCTGCTAATCCCAGCTTTACACACGGGGCACTCTTGGCGCTCCGGCCGTGTCTCCAGCCACTGGAGAGATAAAAAACCGAAATGGTTTCTAGTACACAGGAGGGTCTTCCAGCTCCTTAGGACCCCCCCCCCCATTTCCCTCTTCATCTGCGTACGTACCTGATGGAGACAGGGCCAACTGGATGGGGGGTTAAAAAGAAAGGTCAAACTAGCTACAGAAAAGAGACACAGACCCCAGACTTCACAGAATCCCATTTCACCCCTCTTCCCAAGTATATCTGCCATTTCTTTTCATATTTTCCATAACCTCTACCATGTCTGCCATTTGGTCTACCTGCTTCTCTGATATTTCAACATCTAATCTTCTCTCCTTTCCCCCAACAACACATATTTTTTTTCCCTCCCTTTTCTTCTTTAATTTTCCAATTCTTTTCAACCCACCCCTTTCCAGGTCTCCGCTTTCAGCACCAACCCCATTCTTGCCCCATCACTCCAAACCAAACCCCCTTTGCTAGCACATCTCCCCATACTCCTTTTCCTCTCCCTTTATTTTTTCTTTCAATAACTTGAATATAAATCCTCTCCCTCTCAAGCGCAGTGAAGTCCCTATCGCCACAACCTCTTAACCTCTCAAGCCTGCCCTTGTCTCCATGTTTGTCATACCTCCCTCCCAAGATCTCATATGAATGTGATCCCATATTCCCTGGGTCTCCCTTACTCAACTGCTGCGTGCATCCCCTAACCTGTGCGTCTTACCCATTTCCGCCTGTACAGCGAAGAACCTCACTTCCCTGGGGTAAGACGGCTCGGGTCTCACACGTACAGATGTACGGTGTCCCCCCAACTTACCATCCCACCGCCTCCTCTTAACACATCACACGCCCCAGTTCCTGATTCCGAAGACCTTTCAAAGATCTTGTCTACAGACATTATCTTCCCACCCACACATAGGAGAAAAGACGTATGTCCCCCTCTTCAGGCCTTGCCTATAGGGACGTGCTCTCCTAGTATCCGTATGACTGCATCGCCCCCAATCCCAGTCTCCCTAGTAGGTAAGCCCCACCGCCTTCTGCCCACCTCCCCGACTCTCACCAGTACAGGTGGCCACACACACTGACCACAGCTTCCCGAGCAGTCTCCAAACATATATTACATTCGAAGGTCGCGCCCGCCCCGCCCCGCTCGCGGTTTGGCCCTTCGGGGCCCCCATCCTCCTCCTCTGCTGCTGCCATGGCCGGGTTTGTTTAGCCCCCCAAGTACCCCCAGAGTCCCCCTGAATACACAAACACACGCCCCAACAAACGAAAAACCACCTCCAGCCCACAATTGTTGGGCAGGCTTCAAGGTTTTCTAATCACTATTGGCCTGAGTGCCTGCCAATCACGCAAGGTTCAAAAGAAAGGATTGGTCCAGAGCGTAGGGGCGGAAAAGAGTTTGCGCGGGCCTGCCCTTGCACAGTGACTATTGGCTGATATAGCCGCAGTCACTATGTATTGCCGGGGGATTGGTAATAATTCGCTACACCAAGTTCGGTCGCCCGGCGAGGAGGGGCTTTCTCCGTCTGATGCGAGTCATGTCAAAAGGCCAGAAGCAATTGGCTTGGGACCACCTAGACCTCGCCCACTATAAGCCCCTTTTCTTTTCCCCACTTCCTCTTTCAAAGAATGTCCAGATTCCTATTGGACTTTGGAGCGTAAGGCTCTAAAGCAACTCATTGGCTAGAACTCAACAGAAAATGGTGGTTATGTAAAATGCGCCTGCGCAGCATGCGGTGGGACAAGGTGCGCTAACCCTGTGAAAGGTTGGCCCCACCCCTTCACCTCTATCTTGTTTCCATAGTGACTGCTCTGCAATTGGCGGGGCCTGAAGTTCAAAGGCCTCGACATGTCCTCATCCGGGTCGTTCAGCTGTTGATTCTCTCGACCGATTGGGCCGTTTTCTTTGCTCCTGATTGGCCAACATTGAGAAAGACCGCGGAGAGAGCTTGAGAAAGAAAGCAAAGACTAGGGTCGTAGGGTTCAAAATGGCTCCGGCCTCCTTGGGTGACGTAGAGAGCAGAACTTTGCTCCGCCCCTCCCTCTTAGTGAGGAAGGGAGCAGAAGTGGGATTAGCCTGACGTTTGAATGGTGACAGCATGGATCTGCGGCAGTGGTGTTGAACCCAATTCCCGTGGTTGGAAGAATCAGCCCTCCCCTCTTTAGGTGATTTACAGAGAACTGCACTAGAGACACCGTCTCTTTAATGTGATACAAAGAGTAGAACAGAGTTAACCTCAACTCCATTTTAACCCTTAACAGCAGAAAAATACTGGCTCCACCCTTTTGTGAGGTGCAGAAGAGGCAAGGCGTGACTTTTTTTTTTTTTTTTTTTTTTTGGCCGTGGCTGGGTTTGAACCCGCCATCACCTCCGGCATATAGGGTCGGCGCTCTACTCCTTTGAGTCACCGGCGCCGCCCCAAGGTGTGACTCTTTTTAGATGCCCTGCGGAGGAATGGGTTAGACCCGCCCCTTCCTTTTAATTTGCCCAGCAGAACTAGGGTCTTTCCCTCCAATATGTGACCCTCACTGTGGCCTAAGGAGCAGATCTAGGTATAACAGTCCTCCCACCACCAGTGTTCTTGACATCGTCTTCTCCAAACTCATGCAAGGCAAAAATGTTTGTCTAGGGACCGGAGGCAGACACAGGCAGAATGTTCCACATCCTGATAAAAGGTCCCAAGAGACTCAAATGAGAATTTGGGAGGTTCGTAGAGGAGTGGGCAGGTGAGCGTTCAGGAGGCTTGAAGAGGTTTAGCAAAAAAAGTATTGAAAGGGAAAGGTGGAGTCCAAGTTGTGAGGAGTGATGGAAGGATCCTGGTAAAGAGATAATGGGAGTATGGAGAGGAAAGGAGCAGAGGTTGGACAGCTAGATACATAGCTACAAAGTTAAGGAGACATGCTCATCCTAGAGGAATCAACATTTTTCCTCGCCTTCTTTTCTAGGGAGCAACCCTAGCGCCTCATTTCTACAGGAAGAAAAGTTGCCCCCAGATTCTATGTTGGGGAGGGTTGTCTCAGCTTGGGTGTGTAAGGAGACTGATACGAAGGAACTAGGAAAGAAAAAGTACTGAGGTAAAAGAGCATGGAAGCGAAAGGGTCACGGCGAGGACCAAAGAGATCCCTTCTCTTTAAAGGCCAGAGAGGGTGAGTGGAGGAGGGAGCTGGACTGCTGGAAGATAGTGGGGGCGGAGGGACAAAGGGCAAAGATAGCAGACCAGAGGACTGAAGGGTGAGGTAGGGTGAGATGGAACCCTGGAGAGAAAAAGAAGAGAGGTGAACTCAGTGTTTGGCATATGGTAGGTGCTTGAGAAATGTTTAGAACCGAATAAGGGACAGGAAAAGGGAGAAGAGTTGGAGGGAATAAACAGCCAATGCTGAAGTTAAGGAGGAAGGAAGAAACCAGAAAGAGACCAAGTAAAAGTGACAAGAAAAGGAGAGCTGATGGGGAACGAAAGGAGGGAATGTGCCGAAGGAGGAACACTCCAAGGGATCAGAGCCGAAAAGGGGATGAAGAATAAAAAGCTGCAGCTGGAGCCACAGAGAGGTAGAAACCGAGAAAGAGCCCAGCAGAGATCTCCTGGGGCGGAGCTAGCAAAAGGATACTGGTAGCTGTGGGAAGGAGATGCCTGGGTCTCTGGGAAGCGATTGGTAAAACAGGCTGCCCATCACCGCCCCCCACTTCCTGGCCAGCCCCGGAAACCAGCAGGCGTTGGGGAGGGGCGGGGGGGATATAGCGGCAGCAGCAGCCCCAGCCCTCTGAGGGACAGCAGGAAGGAAGGGAGGGAGGGGGGGAAGCTGGGGGGACAACCCCCCATCATTCCTACCGCTATGGGCCCAACCTCCCATTCCCACCTCCCCTCCATCGGCCGGGGCTAGGACACCCCCAAATCCCGTCGCCCCCTTGGCACCGACACCCCGACAGAGACAGAGACAGCCATCCGCCACCACCGCTGCCGCAGCCTGGCTGGGGAGGGGGCCGGCCCCCCAGGCTCCCTGCCCCATTGAGGTGTGGGCGGGAAATGGATGGGAGGAAGAGGGAGGAGGGTGCTGAAAGGGACTAAGATAAGGGGATGGGGAGAGAATGGGTCTGGGAAGGCCGATTGGGGAGAGGGCTGATGGGGAAAAGATTAAGGGCCGACTGGGGAGAGGGGTTGTTGGGGAAAAGAGAGGGGGTTCTGAAAGGGAGGAAGCATGAAAGAAACACAAGAGGGAGGAGAAATGGAAACCCTTGTGAATTTGGGACTGGGGGTGTGGACAGGGAATCCTGGAGAGGGAATTCCCTACACTTCCCCCAATTCTTTTCCCTGCCCTTTGACCCTACATAACTCTTGGGAGCTGGTGAGGGGAGAAGGCCAGCAGAATTTATTTCCTAGGAGTGCCCTCAGGCACCTGTTTCCATCTAGGCAGAGGACCTCTTGTTTCTCAGTGGCTTTCCACACTGTGACAACTGACACACAAATGCATTGTGGGGAGCCATGTTTTCTACATTGAATCTGTGTGCTTTTGACATCTTTAATGACTTGTGTGTAGTCAGGTTGTCTGACTATCCACAGGCAGTGGAGACATGATGTGTTATTTTCTGTCAGAAATGCCCATTCTTATGTCTGTGTCCATGTCTCACAACCAGTTTTGACATGTTCAAGTACCGCTTGTGTGAGTTTTCATATGCTTCACCTATTACATGGTTTCGTGTTACATGCATGTTTTGGTTTTGCATGTTTACTTTAGCATGTAACGGTTGTATACCTTATTTTGTTTTGCCCAACATGTCTGTGGTCCCTCTGTAGGCAGTAGTCATGAGTGGGGTCTCACAGCTTGGCTGAATAGCAACCACCTTCCTGTGGTGATTGGATTGGCCTGTTTGCTTTGTGTGTTTTCCCAATTACAGTTCACACCACACATATGCATGTCCCTTCACTTAGTACACTGATGTAACACAACCACAGTACGTGTGCTTCTGGTTACATGTACTATTTCTTTGATAATTTTATTAATGAGCCATATGCTCATTAAATTTAGCCCATTTTGTTTTTCACCTTAGACAGTTGTTCTCCAGAGAGGGTCACTTAATATCCAATATTAGAAAAGAAGATAACTGAGTTTCTTCACATACATTCTCTCTCCAGTGGCTGTGTGTAGGTGGTGTCCATGAACTCAGTGCATGTCACAGGGTCAACCCTGCTTTGAACCCCCAACACTTGTGTTTATTTATGAAGAATATTCCCCTCTCTTTGCACTATTAGCACATACTTGATGACAGCAGCATCTTTCCCCTGTGACATGTAACCTACTGTGTGTGAGATGACCCCTTACTGATTGTTGTCACTCTGCTTTCATTTTGGCTATGTGTGTGTACATTCAGAGTAGGTTACTGTTAGGCTTGGTGTGTTCGTTGTTATCTTGCTGACTTTTCCCTTTAGTCAGTTTAATATTCCTGAAGAGGGTAGCTATCAGATTCATGATCAGGACTGTCTCTGTCATTAATTGTGGCTGTGTGGGTATGTATACAGCCTTATAATCTGTTCAGCAAATGTTTATTGGGCACCTATTCTACCTCCTACTGTCCTGGCATTGGAGATAAAGTCCCTGTCCTCAGGCCACTTAGAGCCTAGGAAAGGAAACAAAAATATCAGTGAACAGTTACACATAGTGTGTTTTCAAGATCAGTGGTTCTCAAACTTTTGAGCACATGTCAGAATCTCTTGAAAGGCTTGCTAAAATACAGACCTCTGGGCCCAATGCCCAGAATTTCTGATTGATTAGATCGGGGTGAGGTCTAAGAATTTGCATTTCTACATTTTGAGATCCACTGGTAAAGATAAATATGTAATAAAAACATAGACCTGGAAGGGTTCAAGAGACTTCCAAGAGATTGCAGACATTGAGCTATGTGTAGCAGAAGAAAAGGCAGAAGGACATTCCAGCCAAAGGGAGCAGCGTGTTCAGGGCACAGAAGCATGAAAGATCATGGTGTGTCTGAGAAACAAGTAAATCAGTTTGGAGCAAACATGGCTTTTGTTGGGATGCAGTCAAAGATGTAAGCAGAAGTCAAACTTGTCAAGAAGGGCCTTAAAGACAGGGAAATGCTAAGATTTGTGTTACAGAAAAATCTTGCAGTAGATTTGCCGCACAGAAGGAAAATTGGAGGGAAAGAGTTAGGAATCTACTGCAAATAATCCAGGGAAGAAATGATGCTGGTCTGAATTTGCAGAGACAGTGGAATGGAGCAGCTCAGAAAGCCTATCATTTTCCAGGTGGCAGGGTCTCCTCTTTCGTCTGTTGCAGCGGTTCTCAACCTGTGGGTTGTGATCCCTTTGGGGGTCTAATGACCTTTTCACAGGGGTCATGTAGATACATCCTGCGTATCAGATATTTACATTATAATTCATAACAGCAAAATTACAGTTATGAAGTAGCAAATAATTTTATGGTTGGGGTCACCACAACATAAGGAACTGTATTAAATGGTACCAGCATCAGGAAGGTTGAAAACCACTATTGCTTGTTACCTTCTCACTTGTCAATGGGCTCACCTTTAAGCACAGCCCTTCCTGACGTGGGAAGGGACTGCCTGTGGCCTCAACATGAGTGACAGGTATTTGTCTGAACACCTTTTTTGTGACTTATGACCCTGCCCCAAGCTGTGGGGCAGAGTGAAGGAAGAAGGAAGAACCTAGAATGCAGGTTCCGTGTGCCTGCCCCTTCCTCTTGAGCCTTTCCTGTCCCAGGGCAGGTGCTGTTACGTCACTTTTACTCTCTGCCCTTCATTTTTCTGTCGGTAAGGTGTTACATGCTGTATCTGCCTACCCACTTGTGACTAGACGGGAAGGAAGAGGGTGGTGGGGTTTGCTTGCCTATCTCAAGGCAGGATTGGTGTATGTGACTATTCCAGGTATGTCCATCGATTTATCTAGAAATGGGGAAGGCCGCCTAGGTAGTGAGATTTTTCTAGGTATGCATTTGAATGTTTTAATCTGTCACTGGGTATGATTATAAATTTGTGTCTGTATGTAAACTTGTCAGTCTTTGTATGACTATGTATGTCTGTTGGCATTAGTGACGTGAGTCTTTATTCTTGTCATTCAGCCCTCAAGTGTAACTCTGTGGGTGTTTTGTCACTATGACCACATTTGCTATGTGTTTTGTCTGTGTATGTACCGTACATACAGGTGGCAGCGTGACTGAGTGGTTAGAAACATAGGCTGCTTAGATTAATCTAGAAACTATTGCTTAAGAGCTGTATGTTCTCAGGTAAGATATTTAATGTCTCTGAGCCTATTTCCAAGAAATGTACATAATACTGGTATTTTATAGATTGCTATGTGGATCATATTTAAGATTTAACTTAGTGTGTGACTCATCTCTTGGGGACAAGACACAATTGTAAGAGGGACTTTACCTAACAAATGTAATCAGTGTAACCTGGTTTCTTGTACCCTCAATGAATCCCCAATAATAATAATAAAAAAAAAAAAGATTTAACTTGGTATATAGACCTGCACTGTTCAATAGAAATATAATGTGTAAAAAAAGGAAATATAATGTGAGCCACATATGCAATTTTAATTTTCTGGCAGCCACATTGGAAAAGGTAAAAAGAAAGTGAAATTAATTTTAATAATATGCTTTGGTGAACCCAATCTATCTAAAAGATTATAATTTCCTTTTTTTTTTTTTTGAAACAGAGCCTCAAGCTTAAAAGATTATAATTTCAAAATGTAATCAATATAAGATTATTAATGAGATAGCTTACATTCTGTTTGTCATTCAAAGTCTTTAAAATCTGATGCGTATTTTACATTTCCAGCATATCTCAATTCTGACTAGCTACATTTCAGTAGCCACATGTGGCTGGTGGCCACCGTATTGGACAACACAAGTATAAACCATTATAAGACCTTTACCAGCTACAGGTGTTAGTTACCATTATTACTAACATTTATTACCATGTGTCTGTGATTTGTGGATGTTCATGTCTCAATCTCTTTGCCTGTCTCAATACATCGGGAGCCTTCAGGAAGAGTGGTTGGAGAATAGTCCTGAGCTTCCCATCCCTGTTGCCCCCATCCTAGAGAGACTTCCTGGGAAGGTTACTATGGGAGCCTTGGCTCCATCCCATCTCTGTCCCTTGTCCTCATAGCACCCTCTCAACCCTGACTTCAGTGCCTACCCCACCCCTTTCCAGAAACTAGGCTGACTATCCCATGCTCCATCCCCTGTAGGTGGCCAGAATGGAGCTGTGGCCAGGGGCATGGACACTGCTACTGCTGCTCTTCCTGCTGCTGCTCTTTGTGCTGCCCACTTTGTGGTTCTGCAGCCCCAGTGCCAAGTACTTCTTCAAGATGGCCTTCTACAATGGCTGGATCCTCTTCCTGGCTGTGCTTGCCATTCCTGTGTGTGCTGTGCGAGGACGAAACGTCGAGAACATGAAGTGAGGGGCAAGGGATTGTGGGTGATGAGGGATCCTAAGGGTGAGAAGTGAGTAGTAGATTGGAGGGAGGGGGCACAATGTGTGTAGAAGAGAATCAGAGAGCCCAGAGATGAGGATGGGGGAGAGGACTACAAAAGTGGCCAGAAATACAGTAGGGTGGGAGAAGCTGAAGCAGGTGGACATCAATGGATCCCACTGGGACCCTTTGCTATGACCCCACAGGATCTTGCGTCTAATGCTGCTCCACATCAAATACCTGTATGGGATCCGAGTGGAGGTGCGAGGGGCTCACCACTTCCCTCCCTCGCAGCCATATGTTGTTGTCTCCAACCACCAGAGCTCCCTCGACCTGCTTGGTGAGACTCCACTACAGGGCACAGCTCCCCAGCCATGCCCTCCCTCCTGGAATCTTCCACAGCACCTCCTGCCTAGAGGTCCTCAACTCATCCTCCTCTGGGACATTTACCCTTGCTGCCCCCTCAGACCTTCTTTCCCTAGCATAGGGCTGCCCTTATAAGCAGGGTACATATACCTATACTCACCCTTTCCTTTACTTGGGTCTTCCCTACCCAGTCTCCTCCCTTCTTTATCTCCAGTCCCTACAAGTATGGGTAAGACCTGGGTCAGGTGGGCTTCCTGCTATAACATTCTGCCTCTATCCTGATGCTCACCCCACCTCGCCCCTGCCCAAGGGATGATGGAGGTACTGCCAGGCCGCTGTGTGCCCATTGCCAAGCGTGAGCTACTGTGGGCCGGCTCTGCTGGGCTTGCCTGCTGGCTAGCAGGCGTCATCTTCATCGACCGGAAGCGTACGGGGGATGCCATCAGTGTCATGTCTGAGGTTGCTCAGACCCTGCTCACCCAGGACGTGAGTCATCCTAGGGAAATGGGGGCATGGAGGGCTAGAGAGTAAAACAAGTTGTAAATTAGCTGCCATGCAGGGTCTCACTAGAGCATTGCGCCCACTCTGAACCCTCCCTATGTGTATCTTCCTTGACCTCCTTTCTCACTCAGGTAAGGGTCTGGGTTTTTCCTGAGGGAACAAGAAACCATAACGGCTCCATGCTGCCCTTCAAACGTGGCGCTTTCCATCTTGCAGTGCAGGCCCAGGTGATTACTACTTCCCTTCTGCTACTCAGCTGCTGGTTCCCACTATTCCCTCTTCTCTGGGCAGAGGTTGGTTGTGGTAGTCTCAGAAGAGGGCTCTATGTTGATATGCACTACCTCTTCCCCAGGTTCCCATTGTCCCCATAGTCATGTCCTCCTATCAAGACTTCTACTGCAAGAAGGAACGCCGTTTCACCTCAGGTGAGGACTCTGAACAAGTCTGGGGATACGGTGCGTCCAGAAAGGACATGGGAGAGGCTAGGCGGATGTCCTAGTGAGGCAGGGGATCATTGAGTGTCATAGCTATGAGATATCTACATGATCATCTAGTCCAGGAGTCCTCAAACTTTTTAAACAGGGAGCCAGTTCACTGTCCTTCAGACCATTGGAGGGCCAGACTGCAGGCCCCGGGACAAGTCAGCTGCTATGCAGGACAGGCAGCAGCGGCAAAAACACCCGGTGGGCCAGATAAGTGTCCTAGGCAGGCTGCATGTGGCCCGCGGGCCGTAGTTTGATCTAGTCTGACCCCAGACCAGCCGATAAGTATTTACTAAGCATCCACCATACCCTGCTAGATAGAGGGGTGGTACCTAGTCCCTGCAAGAGCGACTGTTACTATCTAGCAGGAGATATAATAAGGCCTGTGTGCAAAGCTGTAATGAATAGCACTTGGCAGTAAATGCTAAATCCAGACAAGGAGGGCTGGAGGGTGCTAAGGTGGTGTCTAGACTAGAGTTTGGGGAAGGCTTTGTACAAGAGAGCTTATATAAAACAGGTGGCAGCTGGCAAGTAGGGGGTGAGTGTTCAGGGTTGGTGGAAGAGAACTGAAAGGCTGAGAAGGGTAGTAATAGGACCACCCTCAGAAGCTGGGCCCCACCTGTGGGCAAAGATCTGGGTGGACAGGCCATGATGATGCTCCCCTGCCTCAGGGCAATGTCAGGTGCGGGTGCTGCCCCCAGTGCCAACAGAAGGGCTGACACCAGATGACGTCCCAGCTCTGGCTGACAGAGTCCGGCACTCCATGCTCACCGTTTTCCGGGAAATCTCCACTGATGGCCGGGGTGGTGGTGACTATCTGAAGAAGCCTGGGGGGGTGGGCGAAGCACGGCTCTGAACTCCCCTCCCATCCATCCCCATCTTCCTTCCCACACCTACCAACCCAATGGGCCCAAGCCCTCCATCTTCATTTCCCCTCTCCTCACTTATTCTCCTCTTTGGAATCTTCAATTTCTGAAGTGAATGTGGATACAGCACCACCACTCCCTGCCCTTTCCCAACCCCACCCATGGACTCTTGTGCCTCAGTGCAGTCTCTGCTCTGTCCCCCACCTCCTGCCATCTTGCCTGTGGGACAGTTGCCTCCCCCTCATCTCAAGTGGCTCAGCCTACACAAGGGTGGGGAACATTCCATCCCATCCCCAATAGACTCTTCCTTTGTGGTTTCTCCCTCTCCATCCAACGTTGGCCAGTGGACTCATCCATTCTGTGGAACAATTCTCCCCCTACCCCAAGTCCATGGATTCAATGGACTCATCTATTTGGGAGGAGTACTTCTCACCCTGTGGCTGGAAGCTGATATCTGGAACACTCCTCCCAGGCTCAGCCTGGGGACTTTTCCTCAGCACTTTCACCTTCCCTTCCCGTGGAGCCTCCTGTCAGTGAGGGCTGGACTCTTCTAACTCAGAGATCTCATCCCTGCCCTTGCCCAGATGCACAGGGTTGTGCACACTCCTGGATTCCAGTTCAGTCTCCATATTTCTGCTTCTCCCTATCCCCATGGTACAGTTCTTCAGTGGTCTTGGCCCTGCCCAGCCCCCCTGCAGCCCTGCTGTACCATTTAACCAGACACAGGGGAAGAGGCAGACATCAGGTGCTGCACTCAACTTCTGCTTCCTGGGGAGTTGGGGCAAGGAACTGAACCCTGGCTGGAGGGGATAAGAGGGCTTTTAATTTATTTCTTTTTCTGTTTGAGGCTTCCCCCTCTCTGAGCCAGTTTTCATTTCTTCCTGGTGGCATTAGCCACTCCCTGCCTCTCACTCCAGACCTGTTCCCACAACCGGGGAGGTAGGCTGGGAGCAAAGGAGAGGGTGGGACTGAGTTTTGCGTGGTTGGTTTTTATTAATTATCTGGATAACAGCAAGAAACAGAAAATAAAGAGAGAGAGAGAGACTTCTGGGTGCTTGCTGGTTACATTTGTTAAGTTGAAAATCAGTCCTTGCCCAGGCTACCTGCCCCAGCTAGAATGCTCAGGGGTAGGCCAAGACCTGCCTTCCCCTTTCTCCAACTCTCCAGTTTCCATTGCTCATTGCTCCTTGGTGACTGCTAGCCTTATCTGCAGATCCCAGTTGACCAATCCCAGAGGACTAGTGGGTCCAGTTTCTATATAAATTAGGGGGCAGAGACGGTGCTCCAGAAGCTTCTTATCAATGATTGAGGCCAGGACCTAGGCTGTTGTCCTCACAGGAGCCTGGTTAATGACAAGGCAGACAAAGTGGCTGTAGTCTGTGCAGGCCACCTCCAGCCTGGAGTGGACCACACTGCCACTCTCACCCAACAATAAGTGTAACTATCAGTCTGGGGACAGGTCCCAGAAGAGAAGGGTGATGAAGTGGAGATACCTGGGAAGGTATGGGGAGAATGAATGTTGGAGAGCGGTTTCTGAGAAAGAGTCCTGAGTGGGATGGGGTCTCTGAAGAGCTGGGTACAGTTGTTGGGAGATGGGGATCTAGCTGGAGAGGAGTGTGAGGACTCACAGGTGGCCAGCCTCTCCTCCAGCAGCAGCACCTGGTCGCTGAGAGATTCGATCCTGTCACCCCTGCCCCACAGCTCTGCCACCTGTTCAGGCTGCAGCTCTTCAGGCGGCATGGGCAGCACTGCTCTGACCCAGGCCCCAGCCTGACCGACCCACTGCAGAGGAAGAGACATAGCAGGGTATTGGCAATGGGTCCCACCTCGCCCGCACCCTCCGTGAGCTTGGCCCCAGGCACCTCAGTTCACCTGCTCCAGCCGCTCCAGGCGCACTCGCAGCTCGAGAATCTCCTGCCTCAATGCATGCTCGTCATACTCCGCCTCTCGAACTAGGACAAAAAAGAGCAAGAACATGATGAATACCGAGGCCCGAGGTCCTCCCTGTGGCCATACTCCCGCCTGCTCACCGGCCACACTGAGGATGCTGGCGCTGGTTGGGGCCTCCAAGAATTCCTCTGCACAGGTGCGCCCATCCGGGCCCAGCAACAGGCCATGGGGGCAGTCGCAGGTGAAGCTCCCTGCTGTGTTGAGACAGCGGTGCGTGCAGAGAGTGATGTCAGTCCTACATTCATCCACGTCTAGTCACCGGAAAGAGGAGAGGGCTGAGAGAGGAGCCGGGGACAGGCGCCTTGCTGTGTCGGGAAGCGGAGCAAGCTGCTGCAAGGGAGGGTGAGCCAACTCACCCACGTGACAGTGCTTCCCTCCCCAGCCGGGGGCGCACTCGCACTGGTCCGGCCGAACGCAGACGCCTCCATTCAGGCAAGGCTTGGTGCAGATGGCTGCGAGCGGAGAAAGGGAGACTCAGACCCAAACCGACTACCCCGCTTCTCAGCTCCTCCCGGCGCACCTCACACCTCCCGCCTCCCACAAGGTCTGGAACACTCAGCCTTACCTTCGCAGGTGAGCGCCCCCGGGTGCCGCTTCTTCCAGCCCTGGCAGCATACAGCATGGGTCTGCTGCACCTCCCGCCTCACCTCCCGCCACGCCACACGGTAAGTGGTCCTGGAACACAGGGTCCTTCTCAAAACCCTGGATACCAGTCCTGGTCAAGGATCTTGGAGTCCCACTTGAAAGACCAGCTCCCCATCCCTCACCTGTAGGTGCTACAGATGCGTCTTCCAGCGCATACAGTCAGATAGGGCTTGTACACGGGTTGGCTGTAGGACTCGTTGTAGCGGAGCGGGACCACCAGTGTCTGCTTGGAGCAGACCCCCTGGCTGCGTCCATGCCAAAGAAGGAGGTAGGAGACACTGAGTGCGCCAAACTCCTGAGAGCCAGGAGTCCCACTGGGTCACTGAGGACTAGCTTTCTCTACAGATAACAACTTTACCGCCCCCACCCCCAATGAAACCAATACGTTGTTCCGTTCCTGTGAAGCCCCACCCCCAGCAGAAGGTTGCCTTGAAGAACTCAGCCCGGGCCCACCCCCTCTGTTGTCACCTCTCTTTGGGAGATCCACCCTTGGCCCCCTGGCCTGATATCAGTAGCAGGAGAAATGAGAGTCCGCCTAAGAGAGTACACAGCTCAGCCCCGGAACCCATGATTCTTTTACTCCAGACTCTGCAGGCTGCAGGCAAGAAGAGGTTAATGGCTGCCCTTCCCCTCTCCTATTAACTTCTCCAGCCCCAGCCCTTCCAAGAACAGTCTGCTGGTGCCCTCTAAGGAAGTCAGAACATTCTCTTTCACACACCAGCCACCAGGATTGCTCTTTTGTGTACAATTAACTAAGACCATCTAATCCCATAGCTTATACTGATCCATTCAGCATCATACAGGTTCACACCCCACCACTCCTCTATCCTATCCACTCCCAGTCCTCCTCTGCATCACCTGGGAGGGACTTACACATGGTGAACCCTCCCCTCAGGACCCTCTTGTCTTTAACCTGCCCTCATACAACTTAATCTCCATAGCTTCAAACCTTCAGATATACACCCTCACACCTTATACACAAATCTTTATACACAAGCACCTGGAAATGCCTCCAACTCACACCCACCCTGAAGCTCTGAGTGACCTCAACTCTTTCCTCACTGACACTCTCTCCACTTGCCTTCCCCTCCCTCTCTTCCCACCTGGCTTCTTCTCTTTGGAGCCTTCAGGCAGACCAGCCTCAGCAGCAGCAGCTCAGACTAGTGGGTGGCTGGGGCAGGCTGGGAAGGAGAGGAGGGGCTGGGCCAGACAGAGTCCTCCTATTCCTGCCCCCTCCCACAAGCCTCCTCCTTGGCTCCTGCCTGGTCAGCTCAGTGGGATCAAGTCCCACCACCCTAATTGTCACCCCAGCAAAGGGCTTCCTAGAAGTATCTTCCCAATCCTCTGAGGCCCTCTATTTCTGGACTCCTCAAATGAGCAGCGGCTACTAGCTCTTGCCCCCACCTACAACCCAATACAGACCAGGGGAGAGTTAGGGGGCAGGCAGAGAGGCAGAGCTGGCAGGGAACAAAGCAGGCTGGGTCATGGGAGAAGAGGCAAGATCAGGTGAGGAAAGAAAGAAGGGCAAGTTGTCACAAAGGAGCAGGGGCACAGCTCAGGGCACCAAAGGAAAAACTCCCCCCATCTCTTGGTGACATTTATTAGGGCTTAGGGGAGAACAGAGTTGAGTCAGTTACCACCCCCCATGCCAGAGCAGACAGGGCCCTATTGTCTTAGCCAAAATTCTTTCTTTCAAGGAAGAGGAGGCTCATTGTCTAGCCCCTCACCCAGCCCTGGCCTACAAAGCTCAAAAAGGGGCACAATACATACCCACCCTGACCCTCAGCCCCCTGTCTAGCCTGGGGGTGGCAGGCACATTCCCCCAAGGCTGAGGCCCAAACTAGTGGAGCTCTGGGCTCAGTCCCCCAGTCTTAGGCTATGACAGGAAGAGAATTGTCTTCAGCAGGAAAGAACCCGCAGAGAATCAGGAACCACAGAATGGGCATTGAAGAGAGAACGGAAACACCAAGGGGGTCCCCACCCCAGATCGGGCATCCGGGCACCTAAGCCTCAAGCTCTCCATACCCACCCTCCTTGGGGAGCCAGGTCCCCTCACCTGGAAATAAGCCAAGCCACGCTGAGGAAATGAGACTTTATTTTCATAACACCCATTCAAGGGTAGTTAAAAGGGCTGGAGCCTCAAAGAAACTAGGCTCCCAGGGGATACCCAACACTGATCATAGGGACTGGGGGATCCCCAAACCTGAGATGGGCCTCATGGGCCACAGATATTCCCCAACACTGACACTTTGCAAATGGAACTGTCCCCATGGGGGAGCCTCAGAACCCCACTTACATGGGTAGTTCTCTTGGGGGTTGGAAGGGCTGATGACAAGAGAGTTCAGAGAAAAAGGGAACATGGGGAGAACAGAAGCTAAAAATGTCCTGAGTGGCCTGGAAGAAAACCCCTGTGGTGGGCAGGGGCTGGGTTCTCCTTCTGTACAGCCAGATACAGAGGAGGAGCAGCAGCAGAAGCAGCAGGAGCAGCCACAAGTTAAAAACCTGGTTCTCACTTCCCAACTTTGGCCTTGGGAGAAAGAGAGATCATGGAGCCACCCTCCAAATGAGAGGACATGAGGTAGGGGAGACCAAAACTTGTCATTCACAGAGAAACAGAAGAGGGGGAGCCCTGATGGGTGGGGGGCAGTGTGGGAGCAATGAAGGGGTCATAGGCACGACAGAGCCTGACATCTGCTTTCCAAGGCCACCACTTGGTCTCTGGGCTTGGGAGGTCCTGGGGATTCTAAAGACATCCTCAGGAGAGCCAAGGTTCAATGCAGGTCTCATAAAGGGTGCGGTTGGAGTGCCAGGCTGTGTGGGCAATCCCAGCCATCGGACACCTCACTATGGCCCCCCGGGCCAAAAGAGTCTTCAACCCAAAAGAATCACGCAGATAAACCTTCAAGGTAGGCGAGGAGATACAGAAGCATTGAAGAAAAACACAAGGAAAGACAAAGTGAGTTAGTGCTGGTGTCCTGGGCCTCCTCCCCACAGGATGAACCCTTCAGCTTAGGGGTCAATGGCAGGGAGGGCTCCAGAAAGAGGTGGGACAGTGAGTGAAGAGAGGGGAGATAATTCCAGGGGGCTCACCAGTTGTTCCTCCATATCCAAGACTGTCTCATTTGCATCATAGAAACCAAAGAAGCTACAAAGAGATTTAAGGGCAGGTTATCAGAAGAGCTGAAGAAAATCAAGATAGGGTAGGGCCCTTCAGGAACTCATAGCCTACTGAGGAGACAGGCAGCAGGGAGGACACCCCACAATATTTAACTGACTGAATATCACTATCTCATGAGGTGATAAACTGAGGATACAGCATCACTTCTGTAGAATTACCATTAGAAATGCGTAACCTGAATCTAATCATGAGGAAATATCCAACAAACACAAACTGAAGCACATTCTACAAAATAGTTGGTCTACATGCTTCAAAAGTATCAATGCTAAAAAAATAAATAAATAAAAATATCAATGGCTGAGGCCAGGTATAGTGGCTCACACCTATAAACTAGCGCTCAGGAAGGGAGAGGCAGGTGGATTGCTTTAGCTCAGGAGTTTGAGACCCTGTCTCTAAAAATAGCCAGGCTTTGTGATGGTGCCTGTAGTCCCAGGTACTTGGGAGGCTGAGGCAAAAGTATCACTTCAACCCAGGAGTTTGACGTTGCTGTGAGCTATGACACCACAGCACCGTACTAAGGGTGACAAAGTGAGACTGTCTCAAAAGAAAAAAGAGGCAGTGCCCGTAGCTCAGTGGGTAGGGCGCCGGCCACATGCACTGAGGCTGGCAGATTCGAACCTGGCCTGGGCCAGTTAAAACAACAATAACAACTATAAACAAAAAATAGCACTACTGTGCCACTGCACTCCAGCCTGTGTAACAGAGAGTAGGACGGCTCGGCGCCTATAGCTCAACCAGCTAAGGCGCCAGCCACGTACACCTAAGGTGGCGGGTTCGAATCCCCAGC